CAGTTTAAGAGCTCTAAACTGAACTGACTGATAAGACGAGAGCTCTAAACTGACACTGAACTGACTGCCAAGCAATCAGTCAGTCAGTCAGTCTCATCAGTTTGGATTGATTGTTAGCAACTCTGTGTCTAGTGGTTGGTATTGATACCATTGCTCCACCTCCATCCTGAAAGAGGCTAGGCGATCGTCGAACGAGGAGGATCGGTACTTTTGCGCCATTATCGAATAGGCCAAGCAGTCGCTCGAGGTTTCGGCAAGATGCGAAAGTGCTGGTCTCTAGCATTTGACTGAGTCAAGAAAGACATAGCAGATATGTAACAAGAAAGAAGAAAGAATAGGCGGCAATTGGGGGCCAGAAAAGAGGGGTCGCTGGTGTGGTCAGCCACTAGCCATTGGATTGGATACCCACGCTCTAGACCCCAGATAGCCTCGAACTCGCCAAGAACTTGTAAGTCGAGTGTTGATTTCTGGTGTGGCGGCTGCACGTCAGCCGCACTTTGCACAATGCGGGGAAGTCCAGACACACTTGATAAGACCATGATCACCTTAGAGTATTACCATTTGTTGTATCTCTCACAGTGCCTACTTCGTACCACGAGTACAGATCTTGAATCTTAGCCGTCGTTCACAACTCACAAGAAGGGCCCAGCCCTGATGCGAAAAATGTCCTTTTGGTCTTCAGACAGAGACCCTGTTGCGGCTGCAAGTGTTCTCCGAGATGTCGGTCGAGCACTGTCGGAGCTGGATCTGGAGGGACTGGTGAAAGAACACACAGCTTTCCTGGATATTCTGAAAAGGTTACTGGAAGCTGTCCAAAAGATTATGAAGAGAGGTCTCTTCCCTCATAGTCTCCAGGACGATATCGCAGCGATATGGAAATCTCTTCTGAACACGGAAGTAGAGATGGTATCCTCCATGGGCCTGAACGAAAGCGAAGTTAAAACCGAGGACATGAAATCCGTCACCTCCAAGTTCTATATGAAGATCGCATATTACGAGCGCTTCTCCAGCAAAATGATAGCGCTACGGAAAGAAGTTGCAGTACCGCTGTCACGTCTTCATAGCGGTGTTACAATGATCTTTTCTCAAAATCCTTCCAGATCCTGGGAAGCGATTGAGAGATGGACTGCTGAAAGCAAGCGATACACTGAAAATGGATTAGTGCATCAAATTAAAGAGTGGTTGCGGCCTAAATCTGAGGTCCAAGATATATACCACGCGTACACCAACACCGTTCTCTCGCCCGATTGCGACTGGTTTCTTTCTAAGAAAGAGTATGTTGATTGGTCCACCAAATCCGTGAGGGGAGGCAATCGCATATTGTGGATCTCTGAAATTCTCGGGGTAAGAAGAACGCAGGTAGCGGCAAGAGTCATCGAGAAGCTCCGAGAAGATGAGCGTACGGTAGCTTATTTCTTCTCTAAGGAAACCTTCTCGAAAGGCGACGTTCGAAGTGTTATTGCCACACTATGTTGGCAGCTTCTCACTCAGTTCCCAGAAGATATTGGGCTACTATCGGAAGTTTTCAACAAAGGTTGCGAGCCCAATGAAATTAACATCCGGGGTTGTCTTCAGCGTATGTGTCAAAAGAGACATGCAATAATACTTCTGGACGGTTTTGATCGGCGCTACTATGGTTCAATCCAGTGGGACCGGCTTGGTCTGTTCCTTGAATCATTGAGATCCGTCTGTGATATTATCGTTTTCGACACAGTGCTTCAAAGTATCAAGTGGGACTTGACATGTCAGGGTGAGATTCCTCTGACCGTCGAGTGTGCAGACGATTTCTGGAAGGAGATGGAGAAGGTTCCCGCCCGATACGTTGCAGGATTAGAAGCATCGGATGAGAAGATGGAGCAAGGAGTAAACGCCAAGATCAGAGCATATGAGGACATTGAAGAACAAGATGTCCACTTTCCCGTCACAAGAGAAGATCAATATCGAGTATATGCAATGATACGGGACAGAGCAAGTGGATCGCGTCTACCAGCCTACGTCGCTCGACAAATTATTGATCAAGCTGAATACTGGGTCAAATCAACTTTCGAGCGCCGTGAGCCACTTGAGACCAATGCAGGGGAAGCCAAGAGGAACGTCCCATACCTTCTCAGCGACCCCATTGATGGTGCAAGCCATCTTCCTGTCCGCAAGATTATCATCACCTGCAGTCATGACGAAGTATGGAGTGAGTATCCAGACAAACACGGCAGTTACGAAGGCTCAGACGCGTATTTCGATTGTGTCGTACGAAAGTCAAACGGTGATATACGCGAACCTTGGTCTGGCCGCAGACACATATATGATGCTCCCCTCGGGACGCAACCAACGTTCTTTCGACTGAACCTGATCGAGCCAGGCGACAAACTTGCGATCTTACCTAAAGCTATCGCCCCGAGGTGGATTGACTTTGTTGAAACGGTGCGCATTGAAATCTTCTCGACGTTCATTCTTGAGGAAAAGGATGGGCACGACGGAGTACGCGGGTTCGAACAGAGATATACGAAGCTCTTGGCGCGGATTAAGGATGCCAGGAAGCAGGCCCGGTTGCCAACTGATAAGCCAAAAGATGTTGAACAGGCACTTCCAAGTACACGTTTCAAGAGGAAGTCAAAGTTGAGCAATTGGAATAGGCAGAGGGTGCAATCTCTTGAGAAACAAAAGAGGCCTCTAATGCCGTCCACTGAAAAGAGCCTCACTTATACGGAATCAAAGCTTCGGAGTCCTCGTAGCTCGCTATCAGTGTACATGCCAGATCAGCTTGGGCCAACCCCATTTCCCACACGTCGTGAGCATTCGAACGAAAAGATCTTTTTCACAGTTCCAGACGAACAGATCCCTTTGGATTATACAAATCACGATGATAAGAATGCTCACAGCTCAACATGGACAACTTTCATTAGGATGATTCGGGAGCTTGTACGACCGAAAGTGCGTCCTGGTTATAAGAGACTGGAGTGGACTTGTGTAAGCGATTTCCTGCAACCACCAACAATTTACACTCGCTTACTTGACAGACTTGCGGGGAATCTCTCTACGGTGATTTTGAAGAAAAGACACCGGGATCTCTCGATCGACTTGCCGCCCAACTAAAACAACGGTCTGGTCAAAGCTCACAGCATGGTGCTTCTGCACCGATACCACAACCAAAGAAAGCGCACACAAGACAAGCCCAGACAGTAGGGTACAATATGCCTGGATCAGGCAGTAGTAGCTCCAATGATCCGAACAATCTTGTGAGTAACGCAGTGTCATCACAACTTAATACTGTCAAGCCACCGCTATCGACTGCCTTACAATTGTGCATTGAAACTGGAAAGTACAAGCTTGAAATGAGTGAGCTCGCCCGCCCTAGTCTTACCGTCAGCGATGGCGAACTCTTCGCAAAGATACGAGAGAAATATGAAAGCACCCGTCACTCGATACTCCCAACATGGGCGCGGTTCAAGAAGCCAAATAGAGCCATCTTTGTGAAGGTCCGTCCCAGATCTTCATCACCATTCATACCCCATGACTAACATAGTTGCAGTTCCTTCTTGGAACAAAACGGACCGTCTCCCTCAACTACGAAACCCCCTCAATACCACCACCCACCGAAGTCAAACATAATTACGACTACGACCCTTGCCCTATGGAGATACCCCCCATGGACAGTCGAGTTTTCTTCCATCACTTCTACGCCCCTACATCACAACACCCTGACGTGTTTTGGGGTAACCGGCTGCCGTGGAAAGTCAAGCCTCCACTGGGGCCTAGCAATCATGACTGGGGCATTCATCTTGAAGAAAGCCCTGATTGGCCACTGTTCGCTGCGTTGATGTGTTTGCTCTTGTTACTAAGTGGTGTTATTGCGGGAATCTACGCGTGGAAAATGAGCGATGCACAGACGGGCGTTGCGATCGGGGCGTGGTTGACTAGTGTACAGGCTATGGGGATAACAGCCGTCTTCTTTTGGTGGAGTTAAAACGATGTTGCAATACTGCCCAGCTTGTCCCCAAAGTCTCACCCTACTAGATGGCTTTCCATAACCCTTATACAAAATCAAACACATCCCCCTTATCACCCACCATCTTCCCCACCCTCTTCGACCCCACAATCCTCTCCAACTCCAACCTCTCCCACCTCGAAAAGCACACCTTAACACTCGCTTCCGCACGACTAATCTCCGCCCTCTCCACACTCTTCCCCACGAATCCCACAACCTCGTCGTAAAAGATGTGATTCTCCGGTACACCGTAAAACACGACCCTCTTCACGCCGCGGAGATTATAGCGGTGGAAATGGTGCGCGCGACCCGTATACAGCAACACCGAATGTTTGCCATTCATAAAGTGGCTACGTGCTTTACGCACGTCGGTTGCATCCGTGTACTCTGAGATGGAAGCATACGCGATATCCGTATCGACGAGAGAATTCCGGATGCGGACAAAGTCCAGGTAACTCGGTATGAAGACAAGGACGCCAAGGCCACCTTCTACCGGCTTAGGCAGCCGTGTGATGGACGGCAGGATGGTCGTGGAAAAGTACTTGAACCTAGCATCCGGGTCCGTAAGATGGGATGGCGAGTCGAAGCGGAGAAAAGTCTGCTTAATGCCATAAGACAGAGTTTCGATGAGCCCCGCGGTGTGGTCTGCCGTGTACTTGAGCCTGCCTGCAAAATTCCGCATATGTCTGTTGTACAGCGTGTTGATCTTGGGCGTCAGAAAAGCACTCAGGACAATGGTCTGGCGGACGAAGCCCGCGTGGCCATCTAGATACCAGTTCCTCACACGGCTAAAGTCACAGCCGTGGGAGTCCTTGGGCTGGAGGTTCAAATGCTCAAAGACAAACTCGGCGTGTTCCCAGTTCTGCATCAGAGCGGCGTCTGCTTGCTCCATAATCACCATTTCAATCGACGACAGGAAATCCGAGTCGCGTTTCTTGGGGTCTCCAGATTCGATGGCGCGACGCAGGCCTAGTGTCGAGGCAAAGATGATGTCAGAGTTGTAAAACGTCGAGTAGTATTTCAGCGTCTTTCGAGTGAGTTTTACGCCGATGCGAAATTCGTTCTCGTCGTTTCCTTCAAACAAGTCTCGGAAGTCTGCTGGCCGGTCTTCAGAGAACTTGTCTTCTGGGAGGGAGAAGCTGTCGAGGAATCTCTTCTTGTTCTCCTGCTGTTCGAAATCGTGGAGAGCGGTTATGCTGTCTAGGGCGCGAACGCATGCTTGTTTTGTTTCTAGCAAGAAGAGGATCTTGGGACGGGTGAAGCCTTGATCGCGGTATTCGGTGTCGGTGTCGTCGTCTTTTGCCTGGGCGAGTTTGGCGTTGTTTTTCAGAACGCGATCGCGTGTCATGAGGATGTGGTTCAACGCGTGTAGACAGGTGATGTCGCGCAGGCGGCTGGCATTTTGAACTGTCCTCGCGCCGAACAACAGGTCCTGATAGCCGAATATCGAGGGTGTGATGGCTTGTTCCAGTTCATCAAAATTGCCGATTCTCTTTTGTGCATTTTCGACAAGCCGCGCTTTTAACTCAACATCGCGGACGCTTCGAAGCTTCCTAACGGGCGTCTTGACCTCGTCGCTGGGAACCTGAAGTACTCCAGCCCCCAGCCCAGGTTTCCGATCGAGCTTTTGTGACGTCCATTGGTTGGCTGCTATTCGCTCTAGGCGCATCGCTAGTTCGTTCTCGTCTGGGTTCGCAAAGTGTCTTTCGTAGGCTTGCTCGAGCTTCTGCTCTTCTTGGTCGTCTTCGTCCGAGACCTCGTCGTTGTCCATCTCTTCTTCCTCTTCCTCAGCCACAGCGTCTTCGGCTTCTAGCGTGGAAGATTCGTCATCCACTTCGACGTCGGGTTCAGGTTCGTCGTGTCCCAACTTCCGTCTCTTCTTCCGATGTTCGTCGGAGCCAGTATTGCGCGACGAGAAGGACTGCAGGAGAGAGGCATACGCATTCGAGATTGGCTGCGCTTCTTCTTCCTCTTCGTCTGAGGCAGCGTCGTCTGAGGCGTCGGATTCGCTGTCGTCGGACATGGATGGTTCGCGCATGTGGACGTTTCTGGAGCCTATTGTCAGTACTGGGCTGATGCGCCTGCGACCAATATCCGTACTCACGAATCTTCGACCTCATCTCGTGTTCTCGCTGCTGCAAAACCGCCTCTGTTTCCGCCTCTGCTTCCGCCTCTTCCACGGCCTCTCATGCCACCTCTGCCTCTTGCCATTCCCCCGCCACCCCTTCCCCGTCCACGGGAGCCGCCTCCGCCTCGACCTCTCATTGGCGCCATTCGGGACGCGCCGAGCGATGTAAGTTGGGTGAAGGCCTCAGTGTGTGTGCGCAGTGCTAATTGCGCAAGGAATAGAGTCGCGGTACTTTAATGCGCGAGATTTGAAGGTTTTATCGTATATTCGAGGTGGTGTTGTTTCAATCTGAACAATACTTGAAAGCCATGCTAGCCCGCAGCGTCCACCAAAAAAAGTTCAGATGGTCCGTGCAAGCGAACGCACCTGCCCAGGTTTCTTTCACAATATCGACCGTGTGCCCCACCAAGCACATTTGACGTCCTCCGAGCGCCTCACCACCACCACCCACGCCCACGCCTCAGCACCGCCATTACCGTCACCATGGCCGAGAACGACTCCTTCCTCCATCTCGCGCGCCCGCTCGGCCCTGCCCCCATGGGCGCCCAGCCGTCGACTGCCCCGCTGAACGTCGCCATCCAGCCCCAGGTATGCGACAACCGCAGTGAGAGGCTGCCTGCTCTGCTCTCTGACACCCAAAACTAGGCCGTCTTCTCCATCCTCGACCACTCCCTCCGCCGCCCCGCCGAGCAAGAACGCGTCATCGGCACCCTCCTCGGCACCCGCAGCGAAGACGGCACCGAAATTGAGATCCGCAACTGCTATGCCGTCCCCCACACCGAGACGGCCGAGCAGGTCGAGGTCGACATGGACTACCAGAAGCAGATGCTCGCCCTGCATCTCCGCGCAAACCCCCGCGAGGTTCTCGTCGGCTGGTACGCCACCAGCAGCGACCTCAACACCTTCTCCGCCCTCATCCAGAACTTCTACAGCCAGCAAGGCGACGGCACATGGCCACACCCGGCCGTCCATCTCACCGTCTCCACCGTTCCTGGAAAGGACATCGAGTCCAAGACGTACATCTCCGCGCCCATTGGCGTGACGGCTGAGCGCGCCGCAGACTCGTGCCTCTTCATCCCTGTGCCCCACGAGATCAAGTACGGCGAGGCAGAGAGGTCGGGCCTGGAGCTCATTTCGTCGGCAAAGGACAAGGAGGACCGGTCACAGGACGTCATGACCGATCTCGATTCCCTGGAGCGCGCCATCACACACGTCCTGGACATGCTCGAGCGCGTCTCCAACTACGTTAACAACGTCCTGGACGAGGAGGCCGAGCCGTCGTCTGCGCTGGGACAGTTCCTCATGAACGCCCTCAGCCTGGCGCCAAAGGTTGAGCCCGCCGACATTGAACGTGATTTGTACGTCTCCATCCCCCTACTTGTACCTTTGGCCCTCTGCTAACGTGACCTGCCACAGCAACGCGCACATCCAAGACGTCCTCGTCGTATCATACCTCGCAAACACCATTCGCACACAGATCGACCTCTCGAATCGTCTCGCAACTGCGGCACTTACCATGGGCGGCGGCGACCCGCTCGCTGGCGATGGCAAGAAGGATGGTGACAACAGGGGCAAGGGTGGTGACAGGCGAGGTGGCGGCAAGGGAAGGCAGCAGAGGGAACAGGAGGCTTGAATTGACGGGTAGGCACACTGCATGGAGTTTGGCGTTTCTCAAGTGACATGCCACTGGCGAAGGCAGTTTCAAAGCGCGACACCACGCTTTCGGGGCCAGCAAGAGCTGTGCCAGGAAAAAGCTACGAGTCTAGCTTTTTACGAAGGAACAATGGGGTAGAGAGACAAGCGAAGATGTCGAATGGCTCCCAACTCGCTGCTCTCCACATTAACCGGGGCGCTGTATAAGTACTACATTTATCCCCACGGTAGCATGGTCGACATTACGTCCAAATGCCAAGAAAAGTCATGGAATGAAGACGATTTAGAATCACAAACAACAGTTTAGGGTGTAGTGGTGATGCATCATGATGTCGTGTGCAGAGGTGCGCATTTAAAGTATTGTGGGGCGGAAAGGAGCGTATGGGAAGGAAGATGGCGGCAGGCTTTCAGATGGTGACCTGACGCATGACTGTTTGTTCTTTTTGGGATGTTGGTATCTAGGACGAGTTTTGATTTCAGTGGAAGCGGTATGTTGAAATCTACTGTATTGTGTGTTCTTTCCGGCTGGATTTAAAAGAGTTGGTGATTATTAGTGTCCGATTTATTGTGCTTCCTGACGAAGTGATTCTGGGTGGTGGTTGATGAGGATTAGCCTCTAAGCCGAATCCGGTGTAGCATATGTACCCTCTCGTACATCCATCTCCACTCCAACTGTATCGATACTTTTTAGACGTTCTGGCCACCCGATGGTCTTCAAGTATGCCAAAGTATAGCACTTTTCCCTGATTTGTACTGGCTTCTGAGCTTTGGACTGTTGATCCGGGCTAGCGGGCCGGTAAGTCGTCTAGTAGTTGGTAAGGTGGGGAGTAAGGAGACTGCATGGACGCATGCTGTCTTGTACCAGAAAGGGTATTTCGCTGACGTGTTTGGAATCATGCTGCGGAGATATATATTGGAACTCAGTCGCGGTGTGATATCATACACAAAGTAAGCCTCGTCCGTACAGATCATCAAAGACGGTTTTCGATCCACATGATGTCGCATACCATTATGTGGTCAAGAAGCGCACTACCAAGCCCGTCAACAAAGAAACAACTCCGTCCCTCACCGCGTACAAACACAGCATAAGAAACGCTCTATACCGCAACGTCAGAAAGGCATACATCGCATCTCATCCAAAGTCCAATACCTCCTCATATTCTCCGCGCCCAGCATCTCAACCTCCTCATCCAAATGCCGCCAAAGCGCATCCCCAAACGTATCCATAATCTCCTTCATCCTCTCCCACTCAAATCCCTGACCGTTACTACTCTCCATCATCTGGCCTTTCTCTAAATCTCGCTGCTTGCCCTCCAGGAACCGCTTCAGCTCCAGCAAGCCGCCGTGGATCTGCTTGTGCTGGCTCGGCATCTCCATTTCCTTTGCGAAGCACGGCATTTTGCGCGCCAAGATGGGCAAGTAGTAGGTTTCTTCGAGGTCGTGGTGGCCTTTTAGGTGGGTGCAGAAGTGCAGTGCTGCGTCGAGGAAGGAAGATAGTGAGGTTTGTGGTGGGAAGGGGGCGCCGTTCTGGCACGCTGTGGCCATTGTGCGCCATGAGTCGCGGAATATGTTGTGCTGTATGGGGAATTGTGTGAGTAAATGGAATTTCAAATTAGGTTGGCTTGATTAGAGGGCAAGAGAACGCACAAAGTAGTCCATCTTGATGGCGAGTTGGTTGTATTGCTTGTACTCCCATGATGTTAGGGGTAACAATGTTCCTTCTGGCTGTGCTTCTGCGAGGGGAGCTGAAGGAACGGCGATAGATGGTACGGTAGGTTCAGAGGTTGCGTTGCCCATTGTGCGTAGTGTGAGGAAGGGGTGGACGGCTGAGTTTCTGCAAACAAGCGCAGACTTTGCTACCACACCGGCAATCAATAGTACAGATGGGGATAGACACTTATGCATTGACAGTGAAACTCGAGCATCTGTCAAGATGCTCGGGAAATATAGTTATGTAACTACTTGAAAGTTTCCAGTGTGGTTCATTCTTTACCCGACTGATTGGGTGGATTACAAAGCCCCATCTGGTCCCCGGATCGATCGCCCATCCGGTCCGTACCGTGGTCTAGGATCTCTTAGCGTGTATTACTCAACTCTTGTCTTCCCTAACGTCTTCTGAGCTTTGTATATGCGGAAACGCTGTGAGTAATTCTTGATACAAATCATTTGAAAAAAGGTATCATCTGTGCGTGACATGTCAAAAAAGTAAGCGGACGATGTAGATAGTATTTATATGGCAGTCCGTGACGTATTAGATGTGTGTTTATCGCGGGTAAGCTGTAATAGAGTGCACGATTCTTCTGCACTTAAACGAGGTCATCACCAAGGCTCCAGAGACTACCTGTTGTCGTGCAAAGTTGTAGAAAGCTGACATTGGAAGATTACTGCGTCTTCTACGCTACGCTCTCTAATGGCAGAATATCTATATCCGGCAGCTTAAAGTCATTATCAATACCTTCAACCTTCGCAACACCCTCTCTCATCTTCGAAAAATCAACACTCTTCTTGAAAGCGCCGCTAGTCTCTACACTCTCGTCCCAATACAACGTCCTCAGCCACTTGTCCACGTTTGGATACCAGTCCCTAATAAATTTCGCATCGCCCGGCCTGCGATTGAAAAACCCAACGTAGCCAATGTCGAATCGCACAATAGTCGGAAACAAGCGCACATCAGCCTCAGTAAGCCGTGTACCGAAGAGATAAGGCCGGTGCGCTGGATCGGAGAGATGCGTCTCGAGGCGCCCGAGGCCGTCGTAGAAGCGCTCGACGCCAGCACTGTAGGCTTGGGGACTCGTTGCGAAGCCGACACGATAGGTGCCGTTGTTGACTTGTTCGTAGACCCAGGTGTTCATGGCTTCGATTTCGTCTTTGAGGTCGGCAGGAAGCAAGTCCAGTGTTGGCGTCGCGTTGGGTGGTACGATGGACGCGGAAGTTGTATAGAACATGCGAATAATCTCGCTGCTCTCGTTGTTGACAATGGTATCTATCACGCGTGTTAAGTTTTGTGGTGTTGGCACACGAGCAGGATGCATCTTACTAGTCTTTTTATCAAACAATACAGGTACAGAAGCAATGCCATTCGCCAAACAGCCAGGATGGTGCTTCTCGTAGACTTCCGGCATGGTCTTGAGGCTTGTAATGGGATCCCTGTCCGGGCCGTATTTGCCAGAGAAAGTCCAGCCTCTACCAGGAGCGTATGAATCGACCTCGATAGTCTCGATGATATCGTCGAGGTGCTTGAGAGATCGCACAATGAGGGTTCGGTGGACCCATGGGCAAAGGTTGTTCATGTACAGGACATATCGACCGGCCTCGGCTGGATACTGCGCAGAAGGTATGACGGACCTGAACTGCGAGGTCTTGCGCCTGAACTCTCCAGTATCGTTTTGAACCATGGCCAACATCAAACGTGATTGTTGGGATAAAAAGTCTCAGGATTAAAGAGGTAGGTTGCGTGGTAGGTTGCATGGTGCACTACCCCGTTTTAAGACGGATGTGTATTTCATGGTTGCTGACAATAGTGCTGGAGAAGTGACGCATAATGCGACAAGGAGAGGTCGATCGTGAATCTGGGCTATGCGTTCCGAACTCTGCAACTGGCCACGTCTAGTTCCCCAGAACTTCTGCATTCCTCAAAAGAGCTCGGCTCCTCATTCAACGCAGTGAGTTCTCGCTGCAGCCGGATGCGGCAAGGGTCGAGCTTATGAATACAAAAAGAGCAGAACGGAACACACCCGCCAATTAGCGCCTACGGCGCACGGCTACCTTGTGCCCCGGAACGCGTTTTGCCGCTCTACGGGGCTGCGCTCGACAAACTATCGTTCGGTGTACAAATCATCGAGAACTTGCTAATTAGGCTCTGACCTATCGTAACATCGTCTCGTTGTATTGTTGACGCTGTAGTGGCGCTGTTCTGCTCACACAACTTGGTCGGCGATGGCCAATTGCCAGGTAAAGGTAAGCTTGCCGATAGATGTTTGGCAGTGTTCGCGCAATTCGATGATTGCACGTTGCATTGCTTCGATACACTGCCCATGGTTATTCATATCGCACGTGACGTCCCTCGCGGTGTCACAAGGTCGCGCTGCGAGGCTGAAGCTGCATTTCGTATTGGTGCCTTCGAGCTGAAACTATCGATTTGAGAATGTTTTCACCCAGCTGCAACGATCGCTTTGCTGCGTGACCCGAAGCGTTGTCTTTCTCTTGGTACAGTACCGCTATATTACGACCAGCTGCGTATGCATTAGCTTTCCTCGTCTTCTTGGTCAAAGCAGGCCTCTTCGGGTGGAAAGATCGAGCTATCTTGCGCTCATGGCTTCCTCGGTGTATGAAATCTTGGAAGGTTGACTGGGGGTTATAGAACGCCCAACTGGTTTCATTCGCGTCGACCTTGGCATGTCTTGGTGTGTTCTGAGTGACGTGATGGTAGCGATGCGGGAAAGCGCGCTAGATAGACGCGTCTGTTCATCTGGTGGGGGCGCCTACAACCGCTACCACAACGAACAGACTTTATACATCTATTTCCGGACGACGTCTTGCACTGAGCATCGGTTCGAAATGGCGAAATCGACTTTGGTGGTGATTGTGAAGATGCAAGGCTGAGCGTCAACATAACTTGGTGTTTACCAACAGCATGCCGTGCTTGCAGCCTAATCTCGCTTCCTCTGTCCGGCTTTTCGACTGAGCGGCATGTCTCAGCCTTGTCGTTTGCACCTCCAGTGTGGTACCCCGCCACATTTAGAAAGACTACGGTGGGAAGGCAAGGCATATTGACAATGCATGCGCCGGCTTTGCCTAATTCTGGATCACGCCCTCTTCCGCATGAAGATCTGGCAAGGCTGGCGCTGAGTGTCGCCCTTGCGCCACGGTTCTGACTCTTGGAGTCAGCATGCGCAAACTCTCACTCCTCCTTGACCTCTAATCTTTCGACATCGCATCGCACTGTCGGCCCCTTCTAAACCATGGCCGCAGAAATCGGCGTCGTCGCTAGCATAATCACCGTCGTGGGTGTAGCAATCACAAGTAGCAAGAAGCTTTACGAAACAGTTGTCTCTTACAAAAGCGCTGACAACGATTTGAAAGAATTTAGCGATGAGGTCCAGACTATTCAGTTGATCCTGGAGGCGCTGGAAGCCAGTCTGAAGGGAACATCGGAGAGCAACACGTCTGGTAATCTCCAAAAGTGTTTGAGAGACTTCAAACCGACGATGGAGAGTCTCTCGCAGCTTTGTGATGAAATCAAGGCGAAAGCCATCACGGGCACCATGACTGTCCGAGACAAGCTCAAATATCTCTTCAAGGAGAAGGCATTTTCAGCCTATAAGTACCGCCTCAACAGCTACAAGCTGACGATCAACATTGTAATGGGCCTAGTAGTACTGTGCGTTCATACCCGCCGACGCGTACAGATAGCAGCTAACTCACTGTCGCAGCATCAAGTCGAATAATGACAGGAAAGTCATCGAAGACCTCCAAAACAACATTGCCACCGCTCTAGGCAAGATCACAGGGCAGATAGAAGGCATGCAGATCAGTGTTCAGCCGATCATCCCTGTCGACGAGGCAGCGCACAACGCCACGGCGCCTAACGAAACCAACACAGTGATATACGAGCTAGGTCAGTGCTTGAAGGTCTCTCAAAGTGCGCTCGATGCAGCACCTCCAAAAGCGAAATATTCAATTGGAGAATTGGAGCTTTTTGATGAAGCGCGTCAGGTTGTGGCAATCACCGAGGGCAAACCCGGTCTTGTTGGGACTGCGAGAGCACATAATTCCAGCGTGCAGACCATCACGGATGTAGCTCTTCCAACTGAGTTCCTCATGGGCTTGATTTCGCCCGCTTTCAAGGGTGCGCGCTGAGAATGAAGTTCGTTATCCGGCTCTTGCCGCGTCGAACGAGACGAGAGTAATGTGGTGGAGGGTACGACACTCACATTGATATTTCAATTTGGTCCAATCGTATCGTTACATGTCCAGCTGGTCACATGAGACAAGTGACTGCTACGCCGACAATAAATGTTCTCGTTGTTTCTTTCCCCGTTTCCGTTCAAGGATAAACGTGGGTGCAGAGCGCTTGGGTAGCCATTGGTGGCGTATTCAGCTGGCTCGTCAGACATGGGCTCGACATCGCGTAGAAGCCAATCGTCCTGGAAGTTTCTACCATTGGTGCCTCTGGATACTGACCTGTTTTCCCACCTTGAGCTTATGTGTCATTTGCATTTTCGCTCTTCAGTTTTCCTGCACTTCGCCACTACGTATAGAACGTCGGCCACCCTTCTTCAGTCATTCGCGATACTCTTGTACATCAAAGAGACAGTTGAGGTCTGCATACGAGATGTCTTGATTTAATCTAAGCAATCCGAAATTATGTTCGCTCGTGATGACGCAGCCATGGCTACCATTACGAGTCGAGAGGGCACAGCCCCGCCATTCATCAACAATGCCAATTCCTATGGACATAGCACACAAACCATCATTGGTTCCATTAACCATTACACCAGGATACCTGATGACCTACCACTTCCAGCGCATGATGTGAGTGCCGGGAAGTACTTCATCCTAGCCTCAACTGCTAACAGCTGCTACAATTCGGAACTCCTTCAGAATTGTCGACGGCTCAACTTCCTAATCTCTCAAGCGTCTCTGATTTACCCGTCATCAACAGCTGTAAGTTCTCATACTACTCGATTGGTAAATAGCTGATCTTGCCAGACAAAATCGTATTGTTATCGAATCCGAACCCTTCTTTCATCCATATATGAAGCTATCGCGAAGCCACACGTGTCAGCACTGAACTTTCAACCGTGCGAGACATACCTAGATACTCCAGCTGATATTATCACAAAGGTCTTGCTTGTTTGCGGTAAAGCTATTCACGATTTCGAATCGAAAGCTAGACAAGGAACCAGTTTCTGCATGATGACCGATCTGAACGAGCTGCGGAACAGCTTGCGCAACTGCTTGTTCTATTTATTCACATCCCTTCTGTGAGTGACAGCGGACAGCTCGGATGGCCCCTGATTCTCGAAAGCTAACACCGTAGTCATAGGAACATCCACGAGGAGGACCCATTATCTAGAAGTTCAATTGCTGGTATTGATGAAGTTATCGGCGATATGCTTAGGTTTCACTGGAGATGTCAAACTATCATCATCAAGCTCACTGGGAGCAGCTTTACCGAACTTGAGGATCCTATCAAACTCTACGATGCTTCTAGAGCAACCACGTTCCTTCCGATCCCCATGATATTGTGTGGGTCTCCACATGTTAGTTATCTATAAGACCGGATCCCTGTTGATAACTGGAAGTATGCTGATATAGATTAGCAAATGCATCTATTCCTGCTGACCGTCTACGGTAATCGGCCATGGCACAAGAAGATTGAGCACAACGAATACATCTTAGAGAGCAGTGACTTGACTAAAGAGGTCCAGTTGCAGAACTGGGGTGAAGTGATAAGACCCGGAGAGATAGTGTACATGACCATGTTAGTCAAGCGCAAGGGCGGTATGAGCGACACCTCTTGTCGGGAATGCCGTGCGATGAACGTTGAAAAGATATGTGCGAACAAGAAGATGAGATGGTGAGCTCTCAAAGCTTGAGGATGCCCTGAAACCTTACAAGCTAACATATGTTATAGTCTCAGCTGTGGGCTAGTGTTACAAGGTAACAAGGAGTTGCTTCTTCTTTAATGAAGGTCGCATGAAGAGAGACCATCGGGCGGACACGATGGAAGGATGTGGATCCAAGGCGGGGCCTGGATCACGTGACTAACATCCCGCCAAGGCTAACCATCCGGGATGGCAGAACTACTCGGGATAGCAGAGCTATCACAAACATCCCTTGCACTTAGGATAGAAGGGATAGCAGGAACAGATTGCAATAGGTATAAAGGATGGACGGATTTCATTATTACACTCGTTGTGGTTAACTTAAATAGTTTATCTCTCACACAGATTGTCAACTAGTTATTCTATCGTTTATAGAATTAGTATTGTTTATCCTTTAGTTACAACGATAACTCTTTTCCATCTGATCATTCTATACATTACCTCACGGACTACCGCTTTAGTCTACCTCGCCTTAGTACGGACCGAGCCTAGAGAAGTATAGCCTAACCCCGTGTAACAGCTAGCCTCGGGCGTCACTGAGAGCACTTTCGAAACTGAAAATGTTGATTCCGCCAGCGAGAGGGAAACTGATCCACAAGCAAAGCCATCAGAGACGTCTCAGAACCTAGTGGAGGAGCGATTTTTACGAATACGTTACGATTGCGACCTCTCGACACACAAACTCAATGACTCAGAACCTCCGGCCTATAGAACACACAGGACCGACATCTGGATCTGCTCCGAATGTGGTAGCGACAATCCTGATTGGCATACTTTCTGCCCGGTATGTGGTAACTAGATCGATATAAACCAGAGCTACCTGAATGCCCGTTGCATGTCGGGATTCAATCGAATCTGGCAATCTGTAAACCGTGATTGTTAAAGCTGCATGTTACGTGTGACTCGCAATAAAATCATATCGTATCTTGTTTCTAGTAATCATGTTGACTTCTTACAACCACTTGATGTTAGTGCGAAACTCTGCTTCTGGGTGTTCGATGTCAGCAGCATACGCTATCATCTCTTTTTCATTGCCTGGAATGTGAGCTTCATCTCACCAGCTTTCCAATTAAGGCAACAGGGTTCCTTCGGCCAATGCTTTTCGTTCCCTGAACATTGAACTTCGGCATCTCTTGTAGGCTAGATCGACTGACACGGGCTTGATTCACCTTGTGGATGATATCCACGCCCAACTCCACCCGCCTTCCATGAAAGATGTAGCATCCGTGACAGGTGTTGGAGCTCGAAGAAATTTCGGGAAAGCCATGTTTAGGAACGTTGAAATTGTGGTGCCGACATTTGTTGTAGTCCTTTCGACCCAAACATCCTTCAGATCGACTCCATGCGTGTTCTTCACACCTTTGGGGGGATAGAGCCGATCCTCGAAAGGAAGCTTGTCGCCAAGAACACGGGACGAATTCGTGTGCTGTCCCACTGGATATAAGCACGCCCGCATTTGTTGAAGATGTCAAAGACGACCTGCCGAAAATGTGAGCGTGCACTTCGCTCTTGTTAAGAAACTTTGAGTGTTCTTGTTTAGGAGGCGTTTGTTTCAATAGACAATAGTATGCTTATGTATTGGTGCCTCGGTCTCAAATCTCACAGCATTAGTCGGACATGTGGCAACCCTGTTTCTCTAGTAGTGTAAGCTAGCTTCGTCTGTTTTTCTACTACGGAAGACACTTTGTAAGCAAGCATTTCGAAAGATAAACGTCCCTGACATCACTTACAAGATCGGTGTCGTTACCTTGCTTCTAAAAGCACCTCTTGAAGGGCTTTGCCATTGCCTATGACTAGAAGTGGGCTAATGAACCTCGGCGGCTTTCAGCATGACTGTATAGAAGTGTTTCACTACAGACCGCTCTTGCGCCTTCGATAAGCGTTGTCCGAAGGCGCAGCAGAAACTCCGAAGGCGCACGAAGACTGTGCGTCCATCTGCCATCTTGCCAAGCGATCCTATCACTTTTACTCCGGTTGACCCTGCTTACTCTTGGCGTTGAAATAATCATACCACGCGGCTGAACGAAAGACTGTCACTTCATGTACCATCGACATATTCTAGAACAGCTTGCGCTGCTTGGCACGTAGTCGACGACTTTCTAGACCGTCCTTCAGTGCTGACGGCAATTTTCGGAAAGTGGTGAAACTGCATCTTCGGTCCTTATGCTGCCATGTTAGCTGGGATGGTTAGCGTGAATAGCGGCTCTGTGTGTGCCCTGCATTAGTTCACTCTGTCAATGCGCTCAAGGCGGCCTCGCCCCGAACGTGCCAAGCTGACCAGGATCTGCGCTTACCGACCATAATAACGAGAGACGAACTTGAGCTGTGCACACTAATACAACAGCTGTTGTCGCCAGACTGTTAAGTGGTACGACCTATACACCCACACAACAATTCCCCTTCTGTTAAAGGTACTGCAGAGCACCTTCGACGTCGAGCACTACTCTCTCCGCCAATCGGCCTCGAATTGTAGTCCAAAGAAGAGAGAATCCACCAATCCCATTCAGATATCACGAACGTAAACCTTACGACGCGCTGCCGCTGTCTACAACGTGCCGGAACGACCCTCCTCAGCCGACACAGTAGAAAGCACTCACGGCACTCGAATCGGCGCATTAGATGCACGGACCCAGAATTTGCGCCACTGCAACACCATGGTCGCTGCGCGTGCACAGATACTGCCTAGCCTAGCTAGACGGAACGACATGTTTGTAGACCTCTCATTTCCACCAACTATTCTACTACAACACGTTCAGTCGGGCCTATTATAGTTACGAACATCTACTATGTCCAGAAGTTGCAATTGGTGGAGAATACCTTGGCAATTTAGCAACCGGCGCGACTATCGTATCGTTAAAGCCGGACTTAACGACAATCGAGTCGATCATACCAGTCTAACCTAAATTCGTAATGTACCAGCTCGCATGGGTTAACGTTCTACTGGATTTAGTTAAACGACATGAACTGATTCGAATGGTCATCAGTCTAGTTGAAGCTGAAAGAGGTAGGGTACTTCGGCAGTGAAGGGTACGAGGAGGCTATACAACAGCCGGAGCAATCGAAAAGCGTCATGAACTTCTATAAAGAGCTGCTGCAGAAGACCTGTAGAGAATCATCCTCACGAACATCTTCAGATTTCACTTATCTTCTCTTCAAATATCGACTTTCGTTTCCGACTACTCATAACTAAATCTCCTTGCACTTCCAAAATGCCTGCCTTCCACGCCAGTTTGATATTTGTCGCTGTGGCTACTATCGCCTCAGCAGCTCCTACCATCGACAACATATCTGCCGCCTCTTCAGACATGCTGGTCAAGCGTGCTGACTGTTCCTATACCGGCACCATTAGTCCCAGTGCTGTTGCATCTGCTGCACCTGGCTGCTCTTCCATCACCTTCAACGGGATCACTGTCCCCAAGGGCCAGACGCTCGATCTTTCGAAGCTCAGCAAGGGCACAACTGTCACGTTTCAGGGCCATAACACTTGGCTCGCCCAGGTTGGCTTCGATGACTCCCTCCTGAAGATCGGTGGTACCGACATCACCGTTACTGGCGCGGCCGGCGCTCGCCTTGATGGCCAAGGTGCCCAATACTGGGATGGTCTGGGCAGCAACGGTCCTACACCCAAGCCTAAGTTCCTAGCTGCTCACAACTTGCTGGGCACTTCAGCTATCAACAACCTCTACCTGTTGGACACACCCGTGCAGGCTGTCAGCATCAACGGCTGCAATGGCCTTAAGGTCAATAAGATGACTATTGACAACAAGAGCGGAAACAGCTTGCCTGCGAACAAGATGCCTCACAACACTGATGGCTTTGACATTGGTGCTAGCTCCAACATTGTCATTGACGGCGCTATCGTCGACAACCAGGATGACTGCGTTGCCATCAACTCTGGAACCGTAAGTTCTGAATACTGGAAGATCATTTATGATTGCTGACCCATTGTTTAGGGCATTACTTTCCAGAACGGACAGTGCAACGGTGGTCACGGCTTGTCTGTCGGATCGGTCGGTCACGGATCTAGCACTGCCTCTAACACAGTCAGCAACGTGCAATTTCTCAACAACAAGATCAACAACTCCTCCAATGGCATCCGAGTCAAGTCGTTTGTCGATGGTAAAGGATCCATTGACAAGGTTACCTACAAGGGCATCACGCTCAGCGGTATCACCAAGTATGTGTACCACTTCCTGCTCCTCCGCCTGTTCTAATAGCTAGCTAGATATGGTATCCTTATCGAGCAGAACTACAACGGTGGTGACCTTCCTAAGAACGTTGCCCCCGGCACTGGCGTTCCCATTACTGGTCTTACTATCGAGAACGTCATTGGTGGTAACGGTGTTGTCGCTAGCGGAACTAATGTTGCTATTGAGTGCGCCAACTGCAGCGGCTGGACCTGGAACACTGTCAATGTGACCGGTGGCAAGAAGTTCTCCTGCGTTGGCACTCCCAGCGCTGTCCCTGCTGGCACTTGCGCTTGAGTGGTGAAATTTCAGTCAGTGATGAGTCGTGCATTATTAGGGATATATCAAGTAGAGCGGTGCAGTATAGAGCAATCCTTCAATGTTTCTTAGTTCAATGGGACAAGTACATCAAGCATGGTCGACATGTGTGAGTGTTCACAACAAAGTTGCGCCAACAAACAGAATGCCTGCGACAGTACCTGATTACTGCCATATCCAAAAGTCAGTATTCTCAAGTAAAGCGCCCTGACCATGATAGATTTCTTAGGTGGTAAGTAAGAGAATAGCATCATACCAGCCGCTAGCATAACAACCATGGAAGTTGACTTCGGCACGTCTACCATCGCTAGTATGGTAACGTAGGGAGGCCAGTTTGAGAATCTTGCCCAGCCATGTATTCAAGCGTGCTTGCTCCTCGCTTCGACTGATATCTGGAAGATGGTTCATCCCTAGGCTGCCACGATGTATCCGTTAGTGAATGGATCTGTTTGCCTCTTGTCAGCCTTGGGTAATGGCATGGATCTTATGATATGGGCTGACGAGGAGGTAAAGCAAAGGTCGACACAGTTAAGATCATGAGCTAAGTGGGCAGAACTTGTTGTCTATCTGGGTTGACTTCATTACGTGAGTTGGGTACATATAGGAAGACCTCCAGTTCGAACGTCTAGTCGGAGACTGGTTAGCGACTCACGCTATGAAGGGAACCAAATCCAGGTCCTGACCTGCCCAAGTACCTTTTTCTCTCGCCTCAAGACGTAGTTTTGACATGTTGGCTTGCTTTGATAGATTTGGGATAGATCGGACGAACTTTACCCGGACTTAAGGCAACCTTGCCTGGCCCGTGCCACATAAGTTGCGTTGTGGCGTCGTAAGCGACGTCTAGCATGATGGGGGCGGGGCAACACTTGTTGGCATAATGCATCAACTCCCATCGATTACAACTTCCTTCGAAGCTTCACGCATTTAGCCCTACACGCTCATTTTGCGTCGCTCGAAGTTTGGATACCGAGGCCAACCCACACAGTGAACACGATGCACATGGTACATCGTTGACAATATAGCGTGCAATCCAGGTACCGCTGTGACACAGAACAAAGGAGTTACTTTCGGCTTGCGTACCGCATATCATACGACTCTTCTCTGGTAACTCCGCACAACTGGTGATCTCGCACGTACGCAACGACTATTATCGCGTACGAGATATATCCCCGGTCTACAACACACGACACATACATCATGACGATGACAGAGCTCGACCATGAGACCCAGTCACTGGTGCAACGGCTCTACGATGCGTGGAGTACTCATGCGGATTCAACATTCTACCTCAGCTTTCGCGACCAACTACTCGCCAAGCGTGAACGGGTCGATACATGCATAGCAACCTTGAAGACTATTATTACTGTTGCATGTCCTCAGATCAATGAGACGGAACGATATCTCGATCCGAGATGGGAGGAGCTATTCACTCTGGCAGAGTCTATTGAGTCCAGTGCTCAGGAGGAAGACGGGAGTCTCGGAAAACGAAAGCGCGGGTACAACGAGGTTCATCGTCTGCGCAATCTAGCCGTAGTCTCGGCGTTGTGGTCGCCTGCCTTGGTTCGTTACTATGGTTGGAATACTGCCGCTCAAGGTTGTATACGACTTTTGAAGACTTGCGCTTTGCGATACCCAAACTTCAGCAGGCACTTTCGCCCCTACCTCAATCGTGTCCTGCTCGACAGGCATTGCCAGGCCATTGTATCTGGTCGTCTAAAGAATCTTAACGAAGCCCCATTGCAATACCATAGGGATTTGAATATCGTGATTGCGGGTGGTGTCGTCCCTGATCCAGGGATGGAGGAATTATGGGTGACTAGCTTCGATGGAACGGTGCCTGTCGATTCCAATGGCCGTCTTCTCAAGGACTTAAGACCATACCATGTTCACCAGTATCTCCTGTGTCGCGACCGCTACGGCATGCTTGTCACTAGAGGAGATTGCCAAGACGTACCGACAGCCATGCATCAACAGTCCGACTTCTCACATGCACTGGAGGTGCATGAAGAAATCTTTACACAGGATAACAGTGACGTCGCGTATGTTCCCGATATCACGTTCTCTCCGATTTTCACGCCATCAGGAGTGAACGAGGTTTTCGATGACTTTGCGTTCAATCATCAAGATGAACCTTCAAATCATCACCCAGATGATGTTTCTACTATCACCTTTCCCAGCGATGATACTATTGGCCTGGCCTTGAATGTAGACGAAGTGCCGATCACGGAGAACATCACTAGCTCAGATTTATCTGATCTAGGTCGAGGGATCAAGAGAAATAACAGGAGGCAGTCGCAAGAGGAGGTTGTTACCAGGGTGACGAGAACCGCAAAAGAGACACCAACCACGACTGGACCTACAAAGCCTCATTCCGAAATGAGTATACATTCTGGGTCACCGAAGAGGAGGCTCACAATAGAAGATGAGCTGCACAACAGATACGACCAGATGTTGTCGAATTATATCCAGCAACTAAGTGATGAAGCAGTACCAGGCTACGCACAGCGGCGAGCGCGATCGCAATGGCTCACGCAAGACACCAGGTTGGCAAGGATATGGTCAATATCTCAATCTAGGGGTATGCTACCTGGCAGTGCCACTTCAAAAGCCGATTGCGATATTCTGTGTTGTTCTGTAGATGATATGCTTGAAGCAGCACGATCTGGGGAAGTTTTCCAGAAGCCTGTGGTCATCAAGGAATCATTCTCTGATGCCGGCATGCACAACTATGAGCGCTTCTTATCGCTGCTCGAAGATGCTTTCAACTCTGAGGAACAAGCAGAAGTTCGCTGTATCAACATCGAACAGCCCATGTGCGAAGCCCTTGGACAGTTTACCGCCTATTTGCGTTCGCATCCTAAAGATACAAATGGGTTCTGGATGTCAACCTCGCGCAGTGTGGCTAATTGTCATCGTCCACTCTTCACGATGTTAACTCGTTTTCGACTCTTGGAGAGTGTTACTGCAGGTCTTCACGACAACCGCTTCAACTTAGCGTCACCGCCCCTAGGCATGACCATGTCTGCCAACTCTAACACTATCTCTTTCCCTGGCTCATTTTCTGGTGCTTATATCAATACTGCAGCGGGTAGCTGGCAGCGTAATCTATCCGGTATACAACTCTGGGTCTTTGTGCCAGAGAAAGGAATGGATCCAAGCGACTTTGCAGGTTTGGCGAATGGAGAGAATGATTGGGTACCGCTAGGGAGGCAACGCTTGGTTGTCTTGGAAGAAAACGATGTCCTGTTTGTTCCCCCTGGACTGCGACTTGTGCAGGCATGGCACACGCCGGTGACTTGCCTGACGGAGCAAGGAATGTTATGGGATGATCTGAGTGTCCTGCCAATCTTAGAAAGCATGCTCTTGAGTTATGAGAATCAAGCTGCGCATGAGAGTCGCAATTCAAAACAGCTCTGTCGTATGATCAACAACCTCGACTGCCTGATCAGGGAGCAACCCGATCGATTCAGGAAGAGCATGGCACAGGATGAATTCTTGGCTCGCTTTCGGGCAGCCAGTCAATCATGGCTCGAGTTCCCTTCAGATAATCAGGAATCAAATTAAAGTTCTCTGAGGATGATATATACATGTTCATATTACACCAATACGTCGACATTAGCCTGGAAATAAGCCTGCATGTGAAATTGTTTGAGTACAGCAACTCGACTTGAGGCACTGGCAGCATAAATATTTGTCGATACATTTTGCTTTACAATACTTTATCGAAGGACTGGTAATGCGCCATTTGGAGGTAATGCCCATGCTTAGGTAAAGGGCCGACGGATCGTTAGTGCGACAGCGAGACAAGCACCGCGGTTGAACTGAGATGGTAGCACACGTACATACCTGTGATACAACATGATATCCTTTCGCTCAACACTGTTCTCAATACCTATCACCTCCTCAAAATATGATTTTATATGACCTTGTGATACTTGAATACGACAGCATGTTCGATGGTCGTGTTCCCGGTTGTCTGTGACGGCGCTGGAGTGACCATGTAGTGTATACAGATGATTTCACCCCGAACTTGTTCTAACAAGTGACGTAGTGCATCCTTCAGCGCGCTAGACATCCAGATGGGGAACTGCTTTGCTTGCCGCTTAGACGATGATAGACACCAACCCTGATGACTATGGACCGATGGCGCTTGTTCATCTTGACCGGGGTTGGTCATACCATCTTACCGATTTGGACAACACTATTACGAATCAGATTTCACAGTCAGACCTGTCGTTAATCCAAAGTTATTTTGCTCAGCAGTCCCCAGATCCGGCATGCTAAAGAACACAACCAGAGGTGGCACGGATGATTCACTGATGTGCCCTACTCTTTCCCGACATGCCTCCCCCATCTCGTGTTAGCCCCGCAGTCTAACATGCGTCTTGATACAAATTTGCATGAATCCGGTGTTCGTGCAAATCTTATAGCCACTCTGCTTGCTTCGAGACGTTATGAGTTCTGATATAACCGGCTTGCATATGTACCTTCATTTTGGTCGACAGAATAGGCTTAGCCGCCCAGTGCGGCGTCTACTCCTGTGCGGTCTTTATGCTATCGCCACTCCAGGGCCGCACTTGGTTTGCGGCGGTAACGGAGTTTGATGACAAAAAAAGCGGCATTGACCTCAATGAAGGATCGGCTACATCCCCTAACTTCGCTGTCTTCGTTGTTCCTGATGTATTTAACGTCCTTACACTCCTGTCCATCTAGCTCCCTACTACATTTTCACCCTTTCACAACGATCGAATCGTACTATTGTCACTGGAAGATGTCTCATTTCATTCGAGATACCAGCTTTGGTAGACTTGCCCGTTTCATCACACGCAATCGAGTACTGCGGTTTCCAGAAGAGCAGGATGACTTTCAGCTGCAAGATTCCTACGTCAAGCTTCTTAAAGCAGCTGAGCTACGCTCGAAAGACAAGCCCTTGTCTATCGTCTCGCAAAGCGAGGGAAACAACGACACTTATTCTAATCGCCCTTCGGGATCCGCCCTGCCAGATGACGAGGGGCCTGCGAAGGTCGACGAGGAAACGCAGCAAGACGACATGTTCGAGCCCAAGATGTTGGAAGATGGTACCATAGTCGTCAACTGGTATGGCCCTCACGACCCTGCAAATCCACAGAACTGGACGTCTGGCCAGAAACTGGTGCCGACGCTGATCATCGATGCTTACACCTTCGCTGTCTACCTTGGCTCCTCGATCATCACTGGGAGTTACACCGGCATAATGCGTCAGTTCGATGTTTCTCAACAAGTCGTTTCTCTCACGCTCTCCATGTATGTCATGGCTTACGGAATCGGACCTTTGCTCTGGTCACCACTCTCCGAGATCCCATCCATTGGTCGAAACTCGTTGTACATCTTCACCTTTGCCATATTCATTGTTCTTCTCATCCCTACGGCCCTGGTAAACAACTTCCCAGGCTTGGTCGTCCTACGATTTCTTCTAGGATTCTTTGGAAGTCCTTGCCTCGCTACTGGTCCGGCGACGTTGGGCGACATGTATGCCTTCGGCAAGCTCCCATACGCATTGTCGACTTGGGCTGTCGTTGCTACAAGCGGCCCTGCAGTTGGTCCCTTGCTTTCTGGCTACAGCGTGCCGGCCACCAGTTGGCGATGGTCCACTTGGGAGTTGCTGTGGCTCAGTGGTCCGCTTTTCACAGCCTTCTTCTTGCTGGTTCCAGAGACATCGCCTTCCAACATTCTCCTTCGACGTGCTCAACGACTGCGCGAACAAACCGGCCAATCTTGTTTCAGAAGCCAGGGCGAAATTGATCAATCCAAGCGCCATCCCCGGGAAGTTGTCACCGAAGCACTCTGGCGGCCAATTCAAACCATGATCCTCGATCCATCTATCGGATTTACCGCACTTTACGTTGCCCTTATATACGGCATCTACTATTCTTTCTTCGAGTGCTTTCCAATGGTCTACGAAGGGATATATGGAATGTCGCTCGGAGCGCAAGGTCTCGTCTACCTGTCCATCGCCGTCGGGATCACTGTAGGGCTGGTGATGTACCTGATCTGGATACGCATTACATGGGAGCCTGCCGTGCGGACCTGGAATATCGGGCCTCCAGAACGCCGCCTCATTCCTGCTCTCTTCGCATCATTCTTGCTCCCAATAGGACTGTTCCTCTTCGCTTGGACAGCAACTTCCGTTATCCACTGGATCGTACCCACTGTTGGTATCGCTATCATGAGTGGTGGCATCTTCATGATCATGCAACCCATTTTCCTCTACCTTCCCCTGAGCTATCCCAACTACGCAGCATCTGTCTTCGCTGGTAATACCGTCGCTCGGTCAGTACTTGCTGCCGCCATCATTCATTGTTCGCAACCATTGTATGTCAATCTGGGAGTAAATAGAGGCGTGAGTCTTCTGGGAGGGTTCACTATTGGTTGCATCTTTGGTATCTGTGCCCTGTACCATTATGGTCCGTCATTGCGAGCAAGATCCAAGTTCGCGCTCTGAACACGGCAAGACTAGTCGGGAGCCGGATGAAATAGTTCCACCTAATGGGTTTGACTCACTTATCAGAGAGTTGATCTTCAGTCGTCTGGTCAGTGGGCAAACAGCTCGATCCGCAAATACTTGGTTGCCGGGTTGGAAAGGGGGAGAGAGAAGGAGTCGCAGATATAACTTGTTAACTAATATTCACACAAATCATTACCTTGAACTAGCTGGTCAACTGAGCCTACGAAAATTCGTGTCTGCATTCTTGTGTTTCCGGATGATGGGGGCAAGGATTAGCGCACAGGCTTTCGTCGACAAGCCTTTTGTTTTTCTACAATGGTGGTCCGTGCGCAAACCAAGTGTGCTGGGCGCATGTGAAGCGGACCATTCAAGCACTACTTCAGCCGCCAGCAACGTTAGTATCGTTAGATCCAACTCACAGCGCCTTGGTCATGCTTAAGACGAGCGCGACACAGCCCCTGAGCATCGAGTCGGCTTGTGCGATGAGAGCTTTCCGTATTTTCGGTGATTTCAAAGCGCGTCGTTGGAAAGGTGGGATCCGACATTGCGTGCACTATTTACTAGGCAATGTAACCGTTAAGGTTGTGGGCAAATAGCCAGCTATCGCGGTGATGTGTCGATTGACGTCTAGGTGATTCGCAGCAGGTTTGGGTACTCCACCTTTTCAGAGTGAATGTTAGCAGGCACATAGCTTTGACGGGTTTGTTGATATGTGCTCATTGTGCAGACTCGATGCCTTGTCCGAGATGCCAGTAAGGTTATCGCAATGGCGGTTGTGTTCTTCTTCCGGCTGCAATCTTTCCATGGGGACGTTGATGAGAATCAAAGACATGGATAGAAAGGAGAAGAACAAATCCTAACGATGTGCTGGCGATGATCAACAGCGTTGAGGAGTGTGGAAGGAGCAAATGGTGGAGATGGAGTGGATGATGCAGTAGCTCGGGGAGGTAGCGATGTCTGGGGACAAAAACGCGCTTGTGCCAGAACGCGCTAGGCGCATCCCCACCAACGCGACACCCGCACCACGTCGGCTCCCTGCCAAGCCTGCCATCCGGGGTTTACGTTGTGCTCAGGGAAAGTCAAGTTCAGGCCCTGTGCTGCATTTCTCATCTCGGCCTTGACAGCACAGTAAAGACACTACATATGTCGACGACGTCTGCCACAAAGCTACTTTGCCTCTCTCTTAGCTAATCCGTACTCTAACACGGTTGCGTCCAATACACGGGACTGCGATAGTAGTTCACGTTTGCTTGGCACCCTGACAGGTATTAGAAACGCTGGACAAGAGGCGCTACAACAGCTCAGGACTACTACAAAGGGTACTCCGTAGTGCTAATGAATTTGATAATAATAAGAGATATTGCATGGAGATCGGGTGCTAAGATCTCCTCGCCCTTCCAAGATCTGCGTCCGTCTGGCTTTCTAACTGGCATCCGGTGCGACTATTGGGCCGGTAAGGGGAATCGGTCCCTTATATCGAAGTAGTGGCGTGCGGAAGCGGCACATAGCATGCGCACCGCTTAGGTCCCGCTTGCATCATCAAAGCTCAACCAATGGCGAAACTCTGCCATAATTGTCCGATTGCACTACACCCCACTAGCCTAAGGAACCGACCTAGTATCTTAGATGCCCACAATCCTGCTAAGACTCGTGTATTTGGTGGTACGTTGGGCTTATGCTTCGTATCATGTTTGCGCTGAGTGGCTGTGGTGAGCTCATTGATAGCCGTAGTACATACATGCAGTATTCAGGGTTTCGCCACATTATTGGCCTAGCTGCCTCAGGTTCGTCTAGCTGAAAGTTAGGACACCACAGACTGCCAAGCTAGACACTAATTTACGATGAGCACTTCATTGAAATCAGCAAGCGAAACCCTGTCCGAAGAGAACTTCTAGTGCGAGGCATCTGAGCCTTGGGCACTATGCCATTATCAATGCGCGGACTCAGCAGGCCGCTGTCAATTGAGAAGTAGCATGTCGAGATTGGTGGGACAATGCGATCTCTGCTAATCATAGGGGTACCAACCTGTTTGTTGTTACACTAGTTATAATACGCCAGCGGCTTGCTGATTCTAGTCTTCAATTCATCCGAGATAAACTTTCGCTTTGATGTACGCAATTGGACCATACTTTTGCAAGATCTCTATTGGGCCTGAAGTATAAGGGCTCAAGACGCACAGAATCCTAGTCACCACTATGTGCAACTTCATCTGCGCATTTATGTCAACATGGACGAAAGACCTCAGCTACCCCCGCAAGTGGTCGCCGCACTAGCACAGGATAACCTCGGACCCAAGACTCTTGCACTTGTCTATTCGTTCACCTTCCTAGCCCTCATAAGTGTGGCACTGCGCTTCTTCTCGCGGATCAAGCTCACTAAAATCGTCGGTTGGGAGGACTACTTCATTGGCATATCAATGGTAAGGTTCCTCGGCGATGCGAAAAAAACCCACAGGTTACTAAAGCGTGCGCCAGGTCTTTAGTATCCTCGCGGGCGTCTCTCAAATCAAGCAGGTGCAAGCAGGCGCTGGCAAGCACACAGTGCTCGTCCCTTTGCCTAAAATCATCGAAAGCTTGAAAGTAAGTTCAATACGCTGTACAATCTTCACCACAACATCCTGACCAGTGCAGTATCTCTACTTTAGCATCCTCGCCTACGCAGCAGGATCCATCTTCACCAAAGTGTCGATCTGTCAGCAATACAAGCGTATTTTCGCCGTCGCGGACAGCAAGCTTCCCATCTACATTGTCATGGCCCTTTGCGTTGGAGCGGCTACTTCAGCATTCTTCACCTTTGCATTCTCTTGCATACCAGTTGAGGCGTTCTGGGATCTGACGCTAAAGCCGACGTCAAGATGCATCAATGATAACGCGTATGTTCTGTAACTGAGGTCCTGACTCTAAACAACGAGTAACGAATGGTAGAGCTCGCTTCGCCCACGGCTTCTTGAATATGATCACCGATTTGATGGTCACCCTGCTCCCTGTTCCAGCAATCTGGCGTCTCCAACTCGTGCGCCGCCAGAAAATCGCACTCGTATGCCTCCTTTGTGTAGGCTGGATGTACGGCTCTTATTTTCTTTACATCAATTCCAATACACAACACCTACTCTCGTACTGATACTCCGCCAGTGTGTGCATCATCTCCGCCTTGCGCATCCAATCGCTCTTCGTCTTCTTCCGCCATCCCAAAGATCCCCTCTACTACGCCGCCCCACCTATCTATTGGGCCAGCATCGAACAGAACCTCTCCATCGTCTGCGCATGCGTACCGGCTATGAAGCCGCTCGTCGTACGAATCGTGCCCGCGTTTACATCTTTTACCAAGAGCCTCACACGTTCTGGGAACGGAAACAGTTCAGTCTTCGGGAAGTACGGGAAGAGTAGTGTCACCAATGCGGGTGCCGAGGTGGAACTTGGCGACACGTCGAGGCTGCGGGACGATTTCATGCCGCCGCCTCCGGTGTATGGGAAGCACAATATCAGAGTCGAGCATGAGATCACGATGAAGAGCGATGCGAAGAGCGAAAATGAAAGTGCTAGGAGGTGTAGTGAGGGAAGTGGTGGGAGCGAGGAAGTCATTCTCAACGGGAGGGTTCCGAATGAATTGGCGTAGAAATAATGCATCGGGCCAGGCTCGGGTCACGTATAGTTCCGTATATATACCCCAAGTAGAGCCTTATTCGAGTCCCTCCAAGATTCGTCTTACTTTAGCACTACTTAGTATGTGGTGGGGTGGCGGGCATTAATCGACAGCGCGCATTGAGTGCACGGATACTACAGGCGCATCCCCACCAAACGCGACGCCCGCTTCTTAGCACAGTACAACCGCTGCATCAGACCCAGCAGATACCACGGTACCTTGTACTGTTATATGAATGTCTTACGGGTATGCGTATCGCCGTTGAGTACATCGGTGTGCGCAAGGATTGTCGTCTGAGCGAGCGATGCGAAGGTTGTGGCGCAGTCGTAGCGGTGAAGCTCCAGCCGCCCGAAAGAACCAGTAAATGTAGCCTGAGGCTGATTATCGCCCCTGGTTTCTCAATGGAACTTCGAAATAACGCCGCATATTCACCACTGCCCGATCTAATCTTTGCACCTGGGGTTGCCATCTCCAACTTATTGCTGGCTCGGGAAGCCTCATTGAAGGGTGAGTGAACCGCTTTGGGAGACTGTCTCAAGCATTGCGATAGAAGACTTGCTATGGACATTGCGATGGCTTTGCAGACTTCATGTCACGGTCGATTCCCGGTCTTGCTCCTCGACCCATGTTGGCACCGCGTCGTGCTGCGCCTGCTTCCTATCGCTGCCTGGAAGAGTCGATTGTATAAAGAAGCACAATGTTCATGGACATGCTGGATATCACCACAGCATCCCGAACACGCAGTCCTGTTACCGTCAAATTACAGAAACCATGTTCACCCTCGATACTTGCGTCGCAAAAGCCACCCCTTCAACTTTATCAGATGGCATCACGGGCCAGGCGGTCAATTTAAATGTCGTCCCCGAAGACATCCACCACCTCATCATGACCGAAGTTGCGGGTACGTCTCCCACAGACGTACTGAATGTGGCACATTCATCAGTCACATTACGCGATGCAGCATTGCCCTTCATATACAGAAACGTCACTTTGACTAGAGGACTGAAGAAGAGCGAGGAACTAAAGAGATACCAAGCGCTTGTGGAAAATTTCCGCGGAGATGAACAAGGACATATCGCGAAGCACGTGCGCAGCATCACAGTCACAAACGACGTGCCTTCGGATGACTTGATCATGATGCTCAACAAAGTCGCGCAGCACGGAGATCTCGAATCGCTAAAGTATATCCTTCGGATATGTTGATAGTTACGAAGCTAATTGTCCTAGTTGGGAGACCTCTGCGCACATGTCTCGTGCAGTGTACGACATGATCCACGCGACTTGGCCGCAGCTTGAGCTACGTGTTGTTACTTTGGACCGCCAGAATGCGAAGAACATTCTCCATCGACAGATGGATATGAAACTTCTATCGTCCCCTTTGCTTACCGAGCTCACGTACGTGGTTTACACCCAGGGCTATCGTCCCGACAAGCCCTGCCGCTCTGACTGGCCCCGGATTTCTCAGGCTTTGGCGGTCGGCGGTAATGTACGATCTCTTCGGCTGCAAAACAGACAAGACTTCGATGGCTACCATGAGGCAAGGATCGTACCTGATTCTGAACCGGAAAGGTTGCCGCGCCTCGATCTCGCGTCCGGTCTGCGTATGCCTCGACTTGAAGAGCTTACCATTGAAGTCTCAAGAATTTTTGGAGACTCGACTTACCTATGGGATGACGATTGTTGTCGTATGTTTCTTGATTCTATTGATTGTTCGCGGCTGCGTAAACTCGACTTTGGAATCGACAACCCCACGAATTTCTTCAAGAGCTTTGCCGGACTTTGTCCAAAGCTCAAGACGTTGAGTTTTGGAATGTTAGGGCGCAATGATATTGATCTGTCCGCAAGGATATTCATTGAGTCACTTGATACGCTTGAGCATCTTGACGTGTCTCATCCACAACATTCCATCGATGATCTTTGGCCTGCTATCGAAAAGCATCGGGATTCACTCAAGACACTGATCCTTGGGCCCACGTTCGGGCATTACTACCACTCCAAGTACATGGGCCTGAGCCTACTCGAGACAATCGCTTCTACGTTTCCGAACCTTGAGCGGCTGGGATGGCAGGCTGAATGTGATACCAATGCAAGTTTCAGCCACTTGATCGTACATATATGCGCTGACTGTACTTCCCAGATCGATGCAAGACATCTTGAAGTTCTGTCGAGCATGAAGCTCACGAAACTCGATCTCTACCTCCACATTCCTGGTAAGGCGACTGACTACTGCGACCAACTGATGGGTGGGATGATGGGAGCCGCAACAACTCCTCCGCTTGACGAGAAGCGTTCTGTGGCCGCTGCGGTCGAGATCGCCGAAGCTGTCTCGGGGTCGCAGAAAGATGGGCTGCAGTGGCTCACACTCCATATTTCCCGCATGACGTATGGAGACCGTGCCGATCCATGGGAAGTATTCACGAGGCTACAAATCAGGCAGAACAGTTACTCCAATAGAGTGCGCAGACATAAGTGGGATGTGCGTGGCAAGATGGACTGGTATGCACTCCCTTCGCTTGAGGAAAATCTGTTGTTAGAGGAGGAATAGGGCAGCGCAGCTATGACTGTCGCTATCAATACTTCTTTTTCAAAAGCGTGTTGACCTTTCTAGCACTGCGTAGGCCTATGTGTAGCGATTGGACGGTGTCAAGGTTCTCAGTGGATTTTTGGTAATGAGCGATTTACATGTATCGTAGTGACATCTCAAGGCGTCCAGAGAGCTCGCATACACTTATAGCCACCATAAACATCGTGTTTAATTGCATCGCTTGCATTGGGGAATGAGAGCGGGACGTATATGAAGTCACGTTGACTGGACTTTAAATCGCATCTTGAGCGAGATAACAATTCAAGGTACGAGAGCCGGTACCTTGCTTAGGGTTGAGGACGAAGACCAGTAGAAGTTGCGAGCAATGGTAGTAAGAAAAGCGCACCATGCAAGCACCTCGGCTTTAAGACCCTGACCCCACTTGAGCGGCAACTACCCAAGTCGGCTACACAATGTCCCGTCAACAATGGTCATGCAATAACTTATGAACTCGATAACAGCACCCATGTGACCTTTATCCAGGAACATGTTATTCGCAGCAACACAGCACATCCTACGCGCATCACACCTGACCCGCAATGCCTCACTTCTCCAACTGCGCCCCCAAAGATGCCGATTCAGCACCACACCACGCCAACGCATCATGGAAACAACAGGCTTCACGTCCACTCAACTCGAAGTCCGCGACGCCATATTTGCACTTTGTTCAAACTTTCCAAACAGCTACTGGCGCGACCGCGATGATACCAGCACCGATCCATCAGACTTTCACGCCGCGCTGGCAAAGGACGGCTGGCTAGGCATCGCCTTGCCAGAAGCTTACGGCGGCTCCGGTCTAGGAATCTCGGAAGCAACAATGATGCTGCAAACGATTGCAGAATCTGGTGCTGGCATTGCAGGAGCTCAGGCGATACATGCAAATGTGTATGCGACGCAGCCTCTCGCCAAGTTTGGGAGCGAAGAGCAATTGAGGGAGACGATACCGAAGATCATCTCTGGAGAGTACAGGACGTGTTTTGGCGTCACGGAACCAAACTCTGGACTCGATACACTGAGGCTGAGCACATTTGCGAGGAAAGATGCCGATGGGAAGGGGTACAAGATCACGGGGCAGAAAATATGGATCACGTGTGCGCAAGTTGCAAAGAGGATGATACTCCTCGCGCGAACGACACCACGGGAAGAAGCAGAGAAGCCAAGTCAGGCACTGAGCATGTTTTGCATACCACTTGATCGCTCCGCCCCCGGCCTAGACATGCGACGCATCAAGAAAATGGGCGGCCGCGCCGTCGACGCAAACGAAGTCTTCTTCGACAACTACCACATCCCCGCCGACTGTCTCGTCGGAAAAGAGGGCCAGGGCTTCAAGATCATCCTACACGGTATGAACGCAGAACGGTGCTTGCTAGCCGGCGAAGCCCTGGGTCTCGGTTACGCTGCTCTCACACGCGCTGCTACGTATGCACGCGAACGCAACGTCTTCCAGCGCCCTATCGGTATGAATCAGGGTATCGCTCATCCCCTCGCCGACGCGTACATGCAGCTCGAAGCTGCAAAACTTGCTACCTACCATGCAGCGCGGTTGTACGATGCTAGCAAGACAGACGATTCTATCCGGCAAGATGCCATTGGTGTAGCGGCCAATAGCGCAAAGTACCTCGCGGCCGAAGCGGCGTTTACAGCGTGTGAAAGGGCGGTGTTGGCGCATGGCGGTATGGGGTATGCGCAGGAGTATGATGTTGAGCGGTACCTCCGCGAATGCTTTGTCCCCAGGATAGCGCCTGTGAGTCGGGAGATGATTTTGAACTATATTGGGGAGAAGGTGTTGAGCTTGCCGAGGAGCTATTGAGTGTGGAAGGGACATGGCAGGATTGAACGAGATGGAAAAAAAGCTGCATGATGACTGAAAACATGGGTAAGAAACGTTACGGTCTTGATACAAGTACAAAAGCAAGGCTACGTAGAAAAAAAAAGATAGCCTAGTCGTTCATATACCCATATTCAGCGTGACTGTCAATATTCATCTCCAATCATATACAACAAAAAAATTCAACGCTACCAAGCAGCGTGCGAACAAAAACCCCAGACGCCTTTGCAATGAATGCCAACGCCGCGCTACCACGCGCAACCAGTTTTCACTCCACCTTCTCATCAATCGGCTCTTTCTCCTGCACCAAATCCACCTGCTTAACCGGATGCAACAGGACGCCCGGCAAGCACATGCGCCCTTCACCCTGGACCTCAGACTCCTCTCCACCATCATTATCCACCTTATAGCCCAACCACCTCTTCCAGAGATTCGGCGCAAAGCCCGCATGATAGTACCACGTGGTGCCCAAAAAATTGTGTTGTCTCTCGTCGGAGAAGACGGACATGCGCGCCCCGCCACTTGCACCGTTGCGTCCGTTGTTGAAGATGGCAGCGAGGTACTGCGTCGGCCATTTCCGGTCGATGAAGACGGGATGCGGCGCGTATACGGCTTTGAGACCGTGGTGCAGGGCGCACGATGCGGGCCACATTTCGCTGAACATGGTGTGTCGGAAGCGGGATTGTTCGCGATGCATCGTCTCCAGCAGGCGCCAGGAGAGGCGACCGGACGTGTTGATAGCGGTACGACGCGGTGGAAGCCCGTTCTTCTTGTCGTATCCCGTGACATCATCAGCCAGGATCCAATTCGTCTGATCAGGGTCGAAGAGTGGGTTGAAGACGATGAGGTCAGCGGGTTCGCCGACACCCCATTCGTACTTGTCTTCTGCGAGTGTGGTGTTGGGTTTGACGTTTTCGTCAATCTCGATGTCGGGGTAGTCTTGGGGAGGCTCCGGGCCCCAGATGTGCTTCTCAGGCTTCTGCATCTCTGGGCCAGGGACGTGGGGGTTGGGCGGGAGATGAGAGGACCATCTGTTGGCTTGGCTGTTGGTGCCGTGTTCGGTTTGCACACGGACCATTTGCTTGAAGTCTTCCCAGGAATCGTGCACCGAGGGGACATAGAAACGTGCATTGCGTTCCCAGAGGCCTTTGCGGGGTTGGGCGGTTGTCCATTTGGAGACTTGTTCGAAGAGGTGGTAGTAGTGGCCTGTGTAGCGCACGTCCATTTCCCAGTGCCAGAAGAAGTCGAACTCGGGGTGTTGGTGCGCAAAGTACGTCACGGGCATGAATGTAGAGCGGTAGGCACCATGGACAGGCAGTCCGCGGTAGTTGGACTCTTCCACTCCGCCGTAAATCAGGCCCATCTGGCGTTCCGACCACAGCGTGCCCATGCCAGCGAACTCGGCGGGCAGCGCGTTCTTGAGGACCTCGGCGTAGACGTCTTCGTCGGCCCAGATCTGCTTGTTGTCGTCCTTTACGTGGATAAGGAAGTGGACTTCGTATTCACCGCCGGATGCAAGGCTGAGTTCAGAGATGAGGGCGCGGAGGTACATGATGTCTTCGTCGTCGTATTCGTAGTCCCACCATGTGCGAATGAGCACGGCGGTCCGTGGAAGAAGCGTATTGTGGGCTGCCTTTGGTAGAACGTGGACTGTGCTGTTGGCTTCGGTTTCGGCATCGGTTACCGTATCTCGCTTCTGCATCTTGAATGTATCAGTCCCCGTCTTGGGTTGTTTCTCGAACCGGCCCTTGTTCTTTTCCAAGCACCTGCCGAGCGCTTCCGTCCAGTTGACCTCGCGGAAGTCAACCTCAGCGTCAACCTTCCAGACATCCTCGATGCCTTCACGATCACCTTCCATGCCCGCGCCTGTCCCGCCGCGCCTCTTGCTGTAGCCTAGCCCATACGGACCGAGTCTTCCGAAGCGCTCGAAGCAGACATCGTTCCTTAGGCCTAATGTCTCATAGCTTCCGATCACGTTGTCCGGCATACCCTGTGGTACGCCTTTGTATGCCCTCAATCCAGGAACCTTGATGGTATCGTTCGCATCGAGATAGCACGTCTCGACCGGGCCGTACTTGTCTACGTAGTTTATACCGCTGTAGTCCGGGTATGGGTCAAAAGGTATCGAGTCGGCAATGTGTGCGCCCTGCGATCTCCGCTCTTTGACAGCTTCCTTGGGCTGCTCCTCCGCCGGCAGCTCGGGGTCGATGTCCTGCTTTGTTGGGTATTCCGGTACATTCTTGTCCCGGCTGACAAGCGACCGTATGCCGCCGTGATATCGCTTCAGGAAGGGAAAGCTCTCCCACACGTTGGGCGGCGGCGGCGGCTTATTCAGCCCCAGCTCCGCATTGCGTATCGAGGCCCAACTGCTGCTGAACAGAAAGTACATGAAGAACAACAGCGTGCTCGCCACCGCCAGCCCAAAATATCGTGTACATGCCCGTGGATTCCGGTAGCTATATGCACTCACGGTAGCTTTCGAGGGGGCTCTCCGGTGAGATTTGGAGGATCGGCGAAGCGGTCTCGACTCGATGTTGTTGGGATTTGTGTCGTATGCGCCCGAGGAATGGCGGGACGAGGACGGGCTTGGTGTGCCCGAGGACATGTAGGCCTCGTAGTCATCGCTGGCGTAGCCTTTCTCGTTGAGGTCGCCGTCTTCGACATCGCGGTCGGCCGTCGGCGCCTGGTTGTACGACTTGGCTTTCCGCTTGCCCACGGACAGTGGTCGGAAGCCGAGCATTTCGCTGAGGGTGTTGTGTGACAGCGGCTATGGCATGTGCGTCGACAGGACGGGAGGGTCGTGGCAGGCGGTGTACAAGGGATGCGGCGCACGTGAGAGCCAACGACTTCGTTTCGTAATCAGTCGAGAAGTATATACAGGTCAGGAAAGCGTATCGGTCGTATCAATGCGTCGCGGTGCGTTTCGTGGTGCTAGTATACACAGAACTGAGATCCAGCTCGCTGGGGCTGCGCGGTCGGAATTCGGAAAGATTGCCGCGCGCACTACCCAAACATGGCGTTGGCGGAACAACGACGGCCGCTGGAACCACAGCTACGATTTCAACACCACATACGCCATCGCGATGCGCCATACATCTCTAAGGAGTACCACCATTTGTGGCAGCTGGCCATC